AATTTAAGCTTATTTATAAAGTAAATTCTATAATTTGGAACTTTAAGGACGTTATGATTTATTTTCGAAATTAAAATATATTCTTTTATCAGACTATGGGATATTCTGCATTCTGAAAGGATTAATTTTGTAAGGAACCTATTTTTAGTAATCTCTACCATGCGTGCATCGAAAACTAATTTGTCTAGTACCCACTTTTTTAGTTTTATATTAGTTTAATGTCAAGTTAAGGATCCTGTACATGAAGTTCCTCATTGCGTTATGCCTAACAGTTAGAATTCATTATCCTTTAATGGCTATATAAGTTTTAAAATGTGCCGACTACTTTCCAGGATGTTGAAAACCTGGTTAGAACAGATTCATACTGTGGATAGACGGCTCCAGATGCAGGACCTAGCTTACTTATAAATCATACTTAGTCAATCTATTATGAAACTAGTTTGAAATAGTTTGTTTAAATAATCTCTCTTGTAATATTAAACTATTTAAATTGGTAATTATTCTGCAAACTATTTAAATTGGTAATTAAGGTTTAAGTTACTTCGTCGACCTAAAATATCACTTAACTAGGCCCATCAGGCTGAGGAATTAAACATTTGGAGCAGTGCATCCACCATCCGAATTTAGTCGCTTGTGATAAAATTACACATAAGAGTTAAATCTGAGAAAAGTTTCAGCTATACATCTTTTAACAAGTTAATTTGATTAAATTTTACAATTTATTTGTTCTTTCAGCCGGCCAGCTGGCCGAGCGGTTAGCGCGTCTGACTTCGAAGCCAATGGCCGCGGGTTTGAATCTCGCTCTGGGCATGGATGTTTCTCTTGTGTTGTCCTCTGTTGTGTGTGATCAGTGAATGTGGCCCACCCTATGAACGTGTTTGTGGCAGTGTGGCGTGGGCAATGTTACTCCCCTCCGTGACTTTGGTTCACAGGTTTCCACTGGGTAACGTGAAATGAGTAACTCTAACATCTTCTAAGGCGAAACGAATATAGTTCAGTGCCTGCCATTCGAAAAAAAATTTCTTCCCTTAATTGCGCATAAGTGACCATTTAACAATTCACTTGCGCATGTATTGACTAATGTAACATTGGGTGAAAAAAGATTGATACATGGAATATTATAAAATTTGCGATAAATTTTAAACGCTACCCTTTAGTTACAATTTCCCAGAAATATCGCGAAAGGAAAACATAAATCAGAAGTTTGAGGTAAGAAACGAGACAGTTTCAGGCTATTATTTGGGGTGTGTCTAATAGAAATGATTATCAAAATTAAAGCTGTCAAGTTTAATTTTTATGTTTTTTTTATTTTATTAGTTTTAGTTTCCTTTGATATAAGTACCATAAGCTCTCCAGTCGTAGTAGAAGTCGCTAGTTTTTTTTAAAATGTCTACCGAGTTAAAAATTTGTTTTAGTTTAAAAATACAAATTTAAATTTGATTTTGTAAATACTTATTATAACAGATCCACGTTTTTAAAACTCCGCTGTCTACATCTTTAAGTTACCGTTTTTGCAATATTTCATCAGAATTAGAAATTTAAAAATTCGGACAAAGCTGAATTTTAATAAAATTAGTTTGTTTCCAAAATATTTCTAAGCGTTCTCTACGCGTGAATTTCACTATTTTATAACTGAAGATTATTCAAAACTGCTTAATTTCATAACCTTAATTACAAAAAATTTTAGTGCTTCTTAATTCATAAAAATTTTAATATCTTATACCGCGTCATTGTGCCCCATTGTTTAAACTTATTCAACTGCCGAGTCAATGAATCAATGTTAGTTTGTGATTAAATATATGTTATAGTTAGTCGTATGCTAGTAATTAGCTAGAAATAACGTACACAAAAATATGAATACATAACGAAATTCCTTAAACATGAACTGCTTTAAATTTGCTCATCCCGGCATATCTGCATTAAAAAAAAGGGAAAATTCAAAAAATTTTTAAATTTATATTTACTTTTTAATATATCCTTTTATCACGTGCTATACTCATAGCCCGTTTCTCAATTAAACTAACTGAATCATCTGTAATATTGTTCAGTATTGAAGTTTTTAGTTGAACAGATACTTTTGGGAGCTCAAAATGTATCATTAAAATGCTATAAGTATTTAGAGTTGAGATGAAGCAAATTCAGGCATATCCATTTAAAGATTTTCGTTATGCAAATAGACTCGGCAGAGAAATAAGATTAAAAAACAAGACTAGTTTTGTAGAAGCCCATTTCTAAAAATATATTTTATCAGAAATATAATTTCCGTTTAACGTAAGAAATCACCTGACAAGTTGAAATATTTGTTACTATCAAATTTGTTACCTATCTAATTCATTGTAGGAGAGAACGAGTAATTATTTTAAACTACAGATTTTATAACTTAATTACTAAACAGTTACGTTTAAATTTTTCTTAATCATTTCGTTCTTAAATTTGATATAGTTCTCATTAATGTTTTTAATTAATTGAATACGTAGAGTTGCTATTGCCTATAGATACTACAGAAATGTTTGAAAAATTATAAATTTAGATATGTTTGTTTAGTGTAATTTATCCTAACACACTTATAAATACGCTGATAAAAAAAATGCTGTAGTATTAACGCGACAAACATTCAACATTGTGTTTTCAATTGAGGTACACTATGATTAGGGCGAGCCGGCCAGGTGGCCGAGCGGTTTGCGTGCCCATAGGCTGCGGGTTGGAATCCCGCTCTGGACATTGATGTTTCTCTCTTTGTGCTGTCCTCTGTTGTGTGTGTGTGTATGATGTGTGAATGTGGGCCCCCCTATAAACGGGTTTGTGGCAGTGTGGCTTGGGCAATGTTGCTCGCCTCCGTGACTTTGGTTAACAGGTGCCCACTGGGTAACGCGGAATGAGCAACAATTTTGGCATAGTATAGGCAAAGACTCAAATTCAGTGCCTGCCATTGGAAAAAAATTAGGGCGAAGAGAAATTTTGAAAAATGCGGAGTTTTGATGTGACAGCTAGTCTTAAGCTTTAAGGGTTTTGAATAATGTAAGCGATGATTACACAGTCAGATTCTGAATTATCATATACAAATTTTATTTGGAACAGTATACACGTTACCTTAAATACTAAAACTGCTACTTAATAATACATTACTAATGAGGTAGGATTTACTCCTTGCTATCAATTTGATAGTTTGCTTATTTAGGTAACAAAATGTGATAATGCATATTCTGTTTTTTTGGTATCCAAATATCTCGTTACTACAAAAGAGTCTTAAAAATTTTAAAATGCGAGTTTAATTATACCGGTTTTTTCCCTGCTCAATTTGAGTTGTTAAGATTAAAACAAATTTAAGAGTTGCGTTAGTATAATTTATTGAATTTGGAGTTGTGAATTTTATCAATTAAACGTTTCATTAAATATTTTTTTACTCAAGTTATGCTTTAAATTTTCAGATTGATTAAGTGTATTTTAAACGTAGATTTTGAAACTAGCGCACTTACTTCAATCTATTCTTGATTATGAAACACGCATCTAATAACGTATTTAGTGGAGAATATGGGATAATTTAAGAATTAGTAATACCAAAAAATTTGATATCTAATGTTCTATTTATATAAATATGCTCAGTCGGAGAATCTGGCGAAAGTACATTAATTTTTAATTCTCTGAATTTAATACTTTGAAACGCAACTTTAACTGGAAATTAAAAAATTCCTTTCAATATTAAAACTTTAGATTTTAGCTCTTTACAGTTTAACGCAAAAACACCAAAAAATTTAAATTAGTTCTTTAGGGCTGAAAGTTAATTTTTCTTAAATATTAAGTCATAGCTGATAACGAGTAATAGCTAACAATAAGCTTGCCTTAAAAATTTTAAGACTATTAACAGTACGTATATATAATACACAGTCGAGATATTTGAGAAGGTGCAACCTTTTTGCAAAGACTAAGACTAACTGCAACTAATTTAGATATTTAATGTGTAAATATGACTCATTATTAATAAATAAAAATTTATGTATGATAAATAAAAATATTAAGATTTACATTTTTTGTATGCTTAAAAAAGCTTTGAAATAAATTTTAGAGAAAGGTACTTAAAAATGCATATAACGTATGAGTATGGATTTAGATTTAATTAAAAATATATAGCTCATTCTTAGAAGAGGAGAAATTTAAATATCCATAAAATAACAGTAGAATTTCAAGGAGAATATAAAATAAACCTCTTGTTTAGTTGAAGTAATGTACAGTCAGAGCTTATGTTATGTCGTGACGACTAGGCAGCTAAAGTAGACCATCTTGGTTGGGAACGGTCCTCGTGGCAACTAGGTCAGCAATGGAGATCTTGGCAGACTACGNTCGTAGCTACTAGGTCAGCCATGGAGATCTTGGCAGACTACGGCTGTCGTGGCAACTAAGTCAGTCATGGAGATCTTAGCAGACTACGGCCCTCATGGCAACTAGGTCAGTAATGGAGATCTTGGCAGACTACGGTCCTCGTGGCAACTAGGTCAGTAATGGAGATCTTGGCAGACTACGGCCCTCGTGGCAACTAGGTCAGCGATGGAGATCTTGGCAGACTACGGCCCTAGTGGCAACTAGGTCAGCGATGGAGATCTTGGCAGACTACGGCCCTCGTGGCAACTAGGTCAGCAATGGAGATCTTGGCAGACTACGGCCTTCGTGGCAACTAAGTCAGCAATGAAGATCTTGGCAGACTACTGCCCTCATGGCAACTAGGTCAGTAATGAAGATTTTAGCAAACATGGACATCTAATCAGAAATGGAGATTTCGAAGATGTCCCCAGGGACACGATATGGCGGTGAAGTACTCAATACAAAGCCTATTGTTAAAATATAAACTGTCCTTACTTTTATGGTAAAATTAACATAGGTCTTTTAGTCAAAGATAGACAGTGTCTGATATCCGAGCGTCGAGGTGCAGACTACGGCCCTCGTGGCAACTAGGTAAGTAAAGGAGATCTTGGCAGACTACGGCCCTCGTGGCAACTAGATCAGTAATGAAGATTTTGGCAAACATGGACATCTAGTCAGAAATGGAGATCTCGGAAGATGTCCCCAGGGACACGATATGGCGGTGAAGTACTCAATACAAAGCCTAGTGTTAAAATATAAACTGTCCTTACTTTTATGGTAAAATTATAATAGGTCTTTTAGTCAAAGAGAGACAGTGTCTGATATCCGAGCGTCGAGGGAAAGTATGACCATTAACATTATGCACAGGTCTCCGTTAACCCCATTTGTAGGTAGGCCCTTGAAACGCAAACCCCAGTCTGCATTATTTCACTAAAAAATGTTCTTAAATCTTATTACGGTGGTCATATTAGTTTGAACATGTAATTCGTACTCGCAGGACCACTGAACTATGTGCGTAATTTTCAAATCGCTGGAGTAAAACGGAAATCTATATAAGCAAATGCAAACCAAATGCGAATGAAAACCTCCGAGACTAACAATGGTGCAGTCAAAATTTCAATTATCAAAAACTTTAAATAGCCATGAAATTAAGTGATATTTTTACTTTTGAGTGAGCGGGGATTACTGAAATCTAATATTTGATAAAACTTTTGTGACGGTTTTAATTTTAGAGCTTTGTGGCGAATAACTAAATTTCATCAGTATCCTGACCATTCTAAGCGGATTTTCAGTAGAAGTTGAAAATATCCCTCACCAAGAAACTGAAGGTGAAAATTAATTTCAGATATGAAAAATATAACGTAGGGCTCAATACTGACGCAGCGGTAGAGGGATCATGGCTAAAAGCTCCTTGCCGTCGGGCTAACCGTGGAAGGATTTGCACAATTTTATAAGGCTAAATTTAGTAAACAGTGTCTTAAAATTAAATTTAAAGTTAAAGAGCGCACGAAATATTTTTTTAAAAGAAACTAGATCAAAAACTACTTTGTCATGCTATGCTAACAGTTCTAAAGTCAATTGTAACGCATCAATTTCAAAATCTCTATATTAATGTTAGAATTTTGAATCTTAAATTTCAAAACGACAAGTAGAAATAAATATATCAACATTGAATTTATAAAATTTAATATACTTAATGCTTGATAAAAACAAATATACACTTGCATCCTACCGTTTAGTTCAGCGCTAAAATTACACAAAATCTAAAAGCAAAATTCAAAAGTTTACTTTAAAAACGTGTCGAGTAAAGAACCAAAATCAGCGTTTTGTAAAATTCCTTTAAACGAAAATTCTAACAAAAATGAATTAGAGAATATTGCTTTCATATTAATTAATATAATACTTTATATATTAAAAAAGGAACCTTTTAATTTACTCAAATAAAGCATAAAAATATAAGTTTCTACATCTATTTTCATCAGTCAGCATGAAAAAATTACTATATCATTTCTAAATATCGGAGTTAAAAAATTTAAAAGGCTTTGGAAAGCTAATGAATTAAAGTTAAAGTGTGAATAATAAAAAAATTTGCTGAAATTACCCATTTTCACCTAGTTTGATACCTTCAAAATGTTTATTTTATTGAATAGTTAGATGAGTCAAATGTTTTATAATACAATCCGTGGTAAAAATGCTACAGAGTAAATACATTAAAATTTATATTAAACAAACCACTTGAGTAGATCAAAATAAATCTTAACTTACTTACCCATGCATATCTGATAATTCTTCTGCAAGGAATATATTTTCAATCCAGTATAAGCAATCTTTTTGTAGTAGAGTCAAATAACACTTCTAAGGTAGCTTCCTGGATCCTGTAACAAATAAATTATACTGTGGTGTATGTTTTATATAATGTAATTTAACCCTTTAATTTAAATAGTTAGATGAGTCAAATGTTTTATTATACAATCCGTGGTAAAAATGCTACAGAGTAAATACATTAAAATTTATATTAAACAAACTACTTGAGTAGATCAAAATAAATCTTAACTTACTTACCCATGCATTTCTGATAATTCTTCTGCAAGGAATATATTTTCAATCCAGTATAAGCAATCTTTTTGTAGTAGAGTCAAATAACACTTTTAACGTAGCTTCCTGGATCCTGTAACAAATAAAATATACTGTGGTGTATCTTTTATATAATGTAATTTAACCCTTTAATGGGCTTTTTGTTTTTAGGAAAATTAAAGTATTTTTGGAATTGAAATTGTTATAAGAAAAAAAACTCATTTAGTTAATAAAAATGCCATTTCTTTGTGGTAAGCATATTAAGCACGACCTATTCCAAACTTATTGACTTATTTCTCTTTATTTATAAAATGAATTTCATCAATGCTACAATCTTCCAAAAATTATGCATTTTATATTTTTTATAAGTTCTTAAACTAACAAATGGTTGCCAATTTTATTCAAACGCACTTCAAGAAAGCTGAAGTTATTCACAAATTGAAACCTAAATTAAAAATGGTAAAAAAAAGTTCACCCTAGTCTTTAAAAATGGGGGGTAAGTACACCACCTTGGCCTTAGAAAGGGTTAAGTTGGCTGATGAACGTTGTATACTTATGACTAATATATCGATAATATTAGACAATTCAACGACAATACTAGAGTTCGGTGTTACATATTTATGTGGTTAAGTTAAAATCTCTAATTCCAAGAATTTGAAAAATAATTTAAAAAAAAAAAAAAACTTTTCGCTCATTTTACAGTTTTCTGACAAATTTATCTTCTAGTCTGAATGACATTTCAACTATTTTCGAATTTTTGAAATCTGTTTACTTTAAGTCGTGAAAAACTAGTTACAGAAAATTACCGAACGACCCAACATAATTTTAGATATATGTTCGTAGCTAGTCATGGTTGACCTACGAAGGAAATACGCAGTAACATAAACGACCTATTCTTAGAAAGTTACAACGCATTTCTTTACACAGTTTCAAAATCATGAATAGATTGCTCATAAAATTAAAATAAGCCAACAATGTACGCAAGATCTTGAATGTATACAACTAGCAATTTATATATAACAATCTGATAGTGTTTTAGTACGAAATTATTTAATATATTTAGCTAAAATTATGCTATTTACTGATTTTCATGCCCTTTTAGATTTATCAGGATACAGTTGAATCTCCCAATAGAGAGATTTATAATCGGAAAATTAGATAGCATTGATATCTATCATCTTTCTATTCTAATTTTCAATTTCGAAGAAAATTGCTTCAGTTAGCAATTTCTATTAACCATTGCGTTAGTAGCCATTATTGATGCCAGGAGTTACACAGATGGACTTTGCTCCAAAGTTCGTAAAATTTCTAAATTTAAATTGCAATTATTTTGTCTGCAAACTTTTATTTTACAATTTATTGAATTAAAAGGATAAAATTTCTTTGAATTTAATCACACCAGCTGGAAAACATTTGCGCAAATGCTAACGAACTATATCACTGCATAACAAAATTAAATGCATAAAAACCTTCAATATAGAAGACATTTTGCTTTTGTTTAAGCAAACATGTTTTCGCTTCTTGAAATAATTAAAAAATTTGGTATACGCTAATCGTTACTAAAATATTAATATTTCAAAATATTGAGATTAAAACTATTTGGAATATAAAAGGAAAGAGTATGCAACTCAGTTTAACTTAGTGCGTACCCTTGCGTAAAATATACAAACGTATAAAAGGTATAAATATTTTTTAACAATGAGTGGAACTTACATTTAAAGTTTCAAACAGTAAATTAATTAAATACTTGGAGGGAAAAAGGATAAAGTTTAAAAAATAAGTACAATGTTTTAAGTACGTACAATGTCTGGAATCATTCATTAACTGCTACTAATACTCAAGTTACAGGCTGTTAAAAATATAGCAATAATTTAAATTTTAAAATAGCCGTTTCGTAAACTTTAGTTTGTTTTCCATAAAAGAAAATAAGCAATACGATAAGTCAGTTTTGCACAACAATATAAAACTGGTTTTAATTAAGCGTAACACTGCAAACTAATAATCAATTTGAAAACTAACACTTTAAGCAGGCTAATATCTTGTCAGAAAAGTCAAAGAAAAATTTTTAGAAATATCCAAGCGAGTACGTTAATAAACTAGGTATACTAATTATTCTTAAGAGTAATCCCAAATCATTCAAAAATAGTAGCGTACTGTCAATCTTGAAAGTTTAAAAACGTGTACAAGCTAGAATTAAAAAGACTAACTTTTGAGTTCGCGAAAGAAAAAGTCACCAATAAGCAAACTTCAAAAATATTGCAATAGCGGGCAATACATTTATTACTATTTAAAAGAAAAGAGTTAAAAATGAGATCTGTGAGCTAAAGTGAAAGTAATGTATGATCATGAAGATGTGAACATATACGAAGACTAATATTAACTTTTTTCATTTGCCCGAGATGATTTGGGATAGTAAACTGATGGTGAATTAAATATTTCTTACACATAAAAATTAAAACTCAGAAGTTGAGTATTATGTTTCGTTTCCTTGTATTTATTAATGAGACAAAAATATGTTGACTTTTCTTTCAAAAAATTGGTAAGGGTTAGCGGTTAATCTAACAGCATGAAATATTACTATCTCATTTCTAAATACCGGAGATCAAAAATTTAAAAGGTTTTGGAAAGCTAATAAATTAAAGTTAATGTGAATAATAAACAATTTTCGTCGAAACTACCATTTTCACCTTGTGTGATACGTTCAATATGTTGATTTTATAAGATAATTCGATGTTTAAAATTTTTTATAATTCAATTTTATGATGAAAATGCTACACAAGAGTAATTATATAAAAATTTATATTAAACAAATTTCTTGAGTAGATCGAAATAAATCTTAACTTGCTTACCAGTTTATATCTGATAATGATANCAAGGAATAGATTTTTCAATCTAGCATATTCAAACTTTATGTAGTAGAGTCTCAAACATTGATTATAGGGAAACTTCTTGGATCCTGTAACAAATAAGAAAAATAAATTAGGCTGCGTACACAGTGGCGTACCTTTTTTATATTTTTAAGTAATGCACTTTAACCCTTTAATGGGAAATTTATTTCCAGTAAAGGTAAGTAAAAGTATTTTTGAAACTGACATTGTTAAGAACAGCAATTTATATAAAAAACTCATTTAGTTTATAAAATTGCTATTTTTTGGTGGTAAAGTATATTTAGCACGAGATCTATTAGGAACTTATTGACTTTTCTTTATATATAAAATAAATTTTATCAATACTACAATTTTCAAAAGGATTTATGCGTTTAACATTTTAATAAGTTTTTTTAAACTAACAAATGTTTACCAACTTTGTTCAAACGCACTTCAAGAAAACTGAAGTTATTAACAAATGGAAACCTGAATTAAAGGTGGCAAAAATGTTCACCATAGTCTTTAAAATTTGTGGTAAGTATACCCCCTTGTTGACCTTAGAAAGGGTTAGGTTGGCTGATGAACGTTGTATACTTATGATTTATATATATCGATAATATTAGACTAATTCTACGACAATGGTAGAGTTTGGTTGTTATTTATACGATAAAATTAAAATTTCTAATTTCGAAAAGAATTGGAGAAATTAAAGGCTTAATATTTTAGTTTTACAGTTTTCTGACAAATCTCTTTTCCAGCTTGTATGACATTTCCACCGTTTTCGAATTTTTAAAATCTGTATTTAAGAAGTCATGAAAAATTACCAATACAGAAAATTACCGAACGACCCAACACAATTAGATAAATGTCGCAGCTAACCATGGTAGACTTACGAAATTCTAAAGTACTCAGTAACCTCCACAATCTATTTAGAAAGTTACAACGCATTTCTTTACACAGTTTTAAAATCATGAATATATCAGACATAAAATTAAAATAAACCAACAATGTAATGCAAAATATTTAATGTATACAACCGGCAATTTATATATAACAATCTGATAGTGTT